ACGGCGGGGGGGGCCGGGAGCTCCTGCTTCCACCCTCGCTGCCCACCATGGGGTGTGCGGCACGTGCTGGTGGTGCCTCCCTGGCACTGCCTTTCTGCAGGAGCTACAAAAACCTTCCCCAGGCTTTAGGGGGGCCAGGGGAGCAGCCAGGAGGTGTGGGCATCTCCAGGGCAAGGAGGGGAGGAAACCAGGGCCAGGCACCCATCCCCCCGCCCCAGCCTCATCCATGTGTCCGGACACCCCCCTCCTCCTCCGGCAGGAGCAGGGGGCAGCGAGGGGCCAGGGCAGCCACCAGGAAAATGGTCCTGGCCCCCGGGTGCGGAAGGAAGCAGCCTCCAGGAGGCCGCCTGCCTCGGCCTCGCCGCGGGCCCGAGTGGGCAGCGGGGGCGGCAGGAAGCCGCATGGGGCCCGCGGCGGCAGCGCCGGGATGAGGGTTTCCTGAAGCAGGGAGCGCAGGGGGTTCGGCTGTGCCGGGAGCCACAGCCGTGGCACGGGGGGAAACAGAGGCATGACGGGACCAGGCAGACACGGGGGGACACGGAGCCCTGGCATGTGCGGGCACTGGGCGCCCTGGAGCTGCACGAGCACCACGAGCAGCTTCCATTGAGGACACGTTACGGACACACGCTCCTGGAGGAACAAGGGCAGGTGGCAAGGGCAGCTCTGTGCACCGCGGTTCTGCCACTGCAGCCCTGCTCCCTGTGGGGTCCCCGTCCTGTCCAGGCGGTGGCAGTGCCTGGTCACTGGGCCACGTCCTTTGCCTGCTTGCTTCACCCTCCCAAAATAGTAGCTCCTGCCTGGAAGCCTCGGGAGGGGTGGCAGGGGTGCCCCAGCCCTGGGGACCGCAGGGTGCCATTGCCCGGTCCCGGTGGCCCTGGGGCAGGGGCCATGCGCCCTGCTGCCCACGGGGCTGCCCGCGCGGCGTGTGCCGGGCGCGCGGGCCTTGCCAAGGGCTTAGCCGTCAGCTGACATTCCTGCGGGAGGCCCCGCGGCCGGGGGCTTCCAGGCGGGAGCCGGTGTGTCCC